CTTGTTATTTTCATAGAAAAGAAATGTAGGCTAGATGATAAGTACATTTTGGTAGATTTGAAACCAAATGAATGGCTGAATTTGAAAAGTAACCATTAATGTGTTCAGTCATCTCGGAAGTGGCTTTCTTTCCAGTGAAGAGCTTCAGAAATCTGTGTGCCTGGCACCAGGCTGTGTAGCATTTTTATTAACGACTTGAATAAAGGCATAGATGGTGACATCCTCATCAAATTTGCAGACAGCGTACTCAATGACAGCATAGTGTTCCAAAAAAGATCTCATAGCCTCCAGTACAGAGCTGAATTTATTAAGATGACATTGAAAGAACAAAAATATAAAGTCTCATACTTGGGTTAAAAAAATCAACATCACAAGTACAAAATAGAAGAGGACTGACTAGAAATAAATTGGTTTTAGTTGTCTTCAAGAACAATATGAGCCGACTGCGTGATATGGCAGCCCCCCAAAATAATGAGATCTTAGGATGTAGAGTGAGGGAGGCACAGTGTCAAGGACTAGGGAGATGACGATCCAATCTGCCCTGGTCAGACCACATCTGTAGTGTTCCATTCTAGGCAATACAGTTTTTAGGAAGGGCATTGATAAGCTGGATAGCATTAAGAGAAGGGCAACCAGGAGAACAGAAAACCTAGGGGAACATGAGAGCAGTTTTCAAGTAGTTGAAGGACTGATATAGACAAGAGGGATTTGATTTGTTTTGTTTGGTCCTAGAGCACAGAACAAGGAGCAAAGAATGGAAGGTTTAAAGAAGCAGCTTCAGGTGTTATTTAAGGAAAAACCTTCCTAACAATTCCTAGTGCACATGCTGCATTCAGAGTTAGTGGGATCTGAAAGAAAAGCCTGGATGACTACCTGTTTGGAATTTACAGAAAGAATTCTTATTTAAGTATGTGTTGGGCTAAATGGCCTCTGACGTCCCATCTAACTTTGAGATCCAGTGATACATACTTGGAGAATGACGATAATGGATATGGAAAGAAGAAAAACAAATGGTACACCCATCGGCAAGATCTGATTTGAATTCTCCTCTCAAAAGGTAATGCTATTTGTCTCGTTAGCATAAAAACTATCAATACAAATGACTCTCTTTATTAAAAATCTAAATCAGAGTGTAAGTAATATTTCAAGTTGCTGGAATGTGCCAAAGAAAGCTTCTATCTTACAGCTAAAAATCCTCAGTTTTTACTTCAAAACATATTCACATTTTGTTTTTCAAAAGAAGGCTAACCTATGACACATGCTGGAGTGGACATTTTTGCTTCCCTGTACTTGCTCTTCTCTTTTCTAGCATATGTTTTCCCTTCAGATCTTATTTCTATGTCTGAGAACGTGGGCCTCCTTTATTGCTCTTAGTAACATTTTCAGTGATCCTGGCACGATAGAAAAATTATTTGGAAATTATTATTGAGTCATTTTCAACTTTATCTGCCTTGAAATCTTATTCCCTCCATAAAGCTTTTTCATATTTATATAATTACACTTTTAAATGGATTAATGCAGAGAGATTGCATGGGAAATCTTTTACTCTGTTTACTGGAAAGAAAAAAATAATAACAATTGTGAAAACATGCCTGAGGAACAAAACAGTATCTCTGGCACACAGCACTGCAATATAACTTCGTTTGCTTTTAGGGCATTTTTTAAAAAGACCTTTTATTTTGACTGCTACAAATCACATTAAAAAATGTATACTGTCTGCTTCCCTCCCCACTTTCTGCTGCCTCTTCCCCCCAACAATTTCACCTGAAAATAATGATGTAATTTCCCATGTGTTAGAATTATTTTCTCAGTTCCTTAAGATAACTGTAACTCTTCCATGACTTAAAAGGATCAGAACTAAGGAGAACATATTTCTTCTCTGGCATTTAGTGGGTAGGTACCCTCCCCAAATCAGTCTTTCCAAAGCAATATTTGAATTGTACATAGCCCAACGCATACAGACACTAAGAGTTTATGCCTGGTTAAAAACAAAGCAGGTGAAATGCCCAATACTAATAGTAGCTTCCTAACCTATCAATCTGCAATTCTTGGGAAAAGCTGCAGAGAACTGCAGCTTTTCTCTTTAAATTTTCACCAGCATGGGCTGATTTAAAAAAAAAAACACCAAAGAGTGACTTTCAGAAAATATCATGAGACCATAAGAATTAGAACTGCAAAGGATCTTAGAAATTGTTGAATTCAGTGCTCATTTATAGATGAAGAAACAGGCTCAGATTTGCCCAGTTTGTATAGTGAGTTTCAGAAATGATAATAAAATCCAAACTTCTTGACTCCAAAAGCAAGAGCAGGGCTCTTTCTAGTTTACTACACTACCTTGTCATTGTCTGTCTCTGTAAAATTAAACATAACCTATGAATTAAGGCCAGGTTATTCCAGTTTCCAAAATGTTTATGTTGTTCAGCTGCATGCATTTCCACCATGCCAGACGCCACATTAGTGAGGTTTTTTTTTTTACTGGCACACATGTACATGGAGCAGAGCCAACAGAGGAAATTGAATGACAGTACTCTTTATCAAATGGTAGCACATCTCTCTGTAGCACCAGACATGGAAGCAGTAAAACCTGGAGATTGCCTTTTGGAGATGAGAGCTAGACTTCTGCCCAGCCCTTCACTGAGGAGCCCTGGAGAGTGGGATCACAGCATGTCCAAAGGGATTCAGTAGCAGCACCAGGCAAAGGGAAATTCAGTCTTTGTGAAGAAGCAATTAATGGTCTGTGCACTGATTTGAGGCTTGGGGAGGAACTCTACATTTTGGGAGTAAAGCTCTCATCAGTTAACATCTTGAACAGTCCGAAAAAAATTCTGGGTTTGTTTCCTGCCCCAGGTGTGTCATTAACCTTAGGGGCATTTCTGTGCCATAAAACCTCCCTATCTAGGGCACACCAACTGTTGCCATGCCAATGTGGTCAGTGCCAGCCCATTGTCAAGGAGCTAACCTAAGGGGAACAAAAGGAGGCCTGTTTTTTGAGGGTTTTACAAATGCTTTTATTTAAACTTGAAACAAACCACCTTGAGTCTGACTGCTGCAGGCCAAGCTGGCCTTATTCTCAGCAGTCCAGTTCCCACCTGGCCAGTTTCCTACCTGGTTTTCAGATGCTGCCTGCTCTCCATAACTTTACTTTTTCCTCTTTCACAATACTCTAGCCCTGGGAAGGAATGTCACCCACCTTCCGGAGAGCTGCCAAAAGGCTCTGACACAGAGCAAGTTCAGATGGGGCTGTGTGACTGCGGCAGTGCTCCTTTTCAACATTCTCTAAGCTCTGAAGGGGTTTTCAACACTGACCTGGAAGCTGACTACCCATAATACCCCTAAGGGCTGACCTTGGGGGAAGAGGCTTACAAGTAGGGCGACATGGAAATGAAAGAAGCCAACTGAGCTAGACAAGCAAGAAAGAGGCAGAGGTCATGACAAACAAGATGTGAGGCAGGCGGAGGAAAACAGCTGTGCTTGTGGGAGGAGCAGTACAGAAGAAGGCAGCACAAGCTTCAGTCCAGTGAACACCAATGGCTCTGATGGAGCTGGTGGTGGATGGAGAGGAGGAGACACAGCTCATGCATTTCTTCCCTCGCATCCAGACTCCTCCTGAGAGGAAGCCCAGGGTCCCTAAGGGCTCTCTGCTCACTTCAACTTTTTTTGTTTCCCTCTCTTTGTAAATGCATACTTTGGTTTCCAAGCTTTTTAACAGCAATATAAAATATCAGCCAACATACCTGAACATTTCTAATTTACTTATTGACCTTGTGTGTGGAGTAAGGGGGGATAAAGTATTTCCCTGTTCTTAGACAAGAGATTATCTGGTCAGCAGAATTAGGTCTTGGAGCTAATATGAGACAATTGGGGAGAAAGGGGAGATGGTGAGAGGGGTTGGTGGCAGAGACTGGTATTATACTTTGCTTGCCTAGCAAGAAACTGAGATCAATATATTCCTGGTTTAAAATTGGGAGCTGGTAATTACCCTCAGGCTGTGAGAAAAGCATGAGTATTTCATTCCCTTCTTTTGCTAGAGGCAATGATGATATTTTGTGAGGTCCTGAATTTGAAAAGAAATCAAGGCACATGTCCACAAAGAAAGAGAAGACAGAGTTGCTTACAAAGGGAAAGCAATGACCCTGCAGAGGACTGGACTGTTAGGGCCTACAGGAAGGCAAAGGGAAGTGAGTAATCCTAGCATGCTCAGGAGGGCCTCTGGCTCATGGGATGATAGAGAGCTCAGTCTGCATTACTCTTCAGCATCCTCTGTGGCTTAAAGACTATTGTTCGTTCTCTCTCCTCTCTTCCTCTCTCTCTCTCTCTCCTCTCTCTCTCTCTCTCTCTCTCTCTCTCTCTCTCTCTCTCTCTCTCTCTCTCTCTCTCTCTCTCTCTCTCTCTCTCCCTCTCTCCCCTCTCCCCCTCTTTTTTGGCTAGGCAATGGGTTAAGTAACTTGTCAAGTGTTTGAGGCCACATTTGAACTCAGGTCCTCCTGACTCCAGGGCCGGTGCTCTATCCATTGCACCACCTAGCTGTTCCCAAGACTACTGTTTTCATAAGGTAGATCAAAATAGCACCTCTTATTTTTTGAAATTTGGGCAGCTAGATGGGGCAGTGGATAGAATGTCCAGCCTGGAGTCAGGAAGATTCATCTTCCTGAGTTCAAATCTGGCCTCACATATTTACTAGCTGTGTGATCCTAGGCAAGTCACTTAACCTGTTTGCCTCAGTTTCTTTATCTGCAAAATGAGCAGGAGAAGGAAATGGCAAACCACTTCAGTATCTTTACCAAGAAAACCTCAAATGGAGTCATGAAGAGTTGGATATGACTGAAAAGGAACTGAACAACAGATTTTTTTCTGAAATTTATGATTATGGGCTTTCCTGTTGCTTCTACTAAGCTATACTCATGAAGCTAGACATTGTTCCTCTTTTCTGTCCCCTCCCCCAATGTTCCCTCCACCCTCTGGAATCTCCCTCACTGGCTCTCACAGAAATTCCCAAGTACCTTCAAAATCTCCATCTCTTGCCTTTGCTGCAAGTTCAGAAGAAGATATTGTTTCCTGGCAAAGGGCACAGTCTTCCAGAGCTGCACTTCTTAAATTCTGATTTACTGAAAAATAAAGGACAGTACTTTGAAAACGGTGATAGGTGTCTGTAAGAAATTCATCCTCTGCAGTAAACAAATGGAAAGTAACAGCAGTGAGTGTGGAGTCAGGAGTTAAAAACTCTTTGTGAACTCCAGGGATGGATGCCCCAAATGTTATAGCCCCCTCTAGAGGTTTCAAGAGAACCAGAGTGAAAGGAAGGCTTTGGGTGTCTTCCGAAATAAAATGCTGTCTCAGGACAGCCATGGTAAGGTAGCAGAAAGGCCGCTGGACTTACAGAGTATCTGGGTTGGAATCTGGTCCTCGCATCTTCTTATCTGCTTCTCATTGAACCTGGAAAGTCTGTGATATATAAATACGATCTTCTCCCTGAACACTAATGATCTTAGGGTTAGGAAAATCTGGGCTCATGGCCAAGGTCCGATGTTTACTAGCTTTATGCTACTAAGGCAAATCACTTAACTTCTCTGAGACTTGGTTTCTTCATCTGCAAAATAAGTGTAATTATATTTGTATTCTCTTTGTAAACACTTTGTAAATCTAAAAATGCTATGTGAATCAAAGTTACCACTAGCATTACGATCTATTATATGTCTATGTATTATCTGTATGCGTATAGTGTTTTGAGAAACTAGCATGAGGTAGTCCTAGGTGGCTGTATGTTTTCATATGACCACAAAGCTTGGGGATGCATTTCTGTCTCATAGTCAAATAAGGATTCAAACAATATGACTGAGAACGATTTGAAGACATAGATATGCTGATTAAAAGAGTTTGCACCTCCAGAAATATGAATGAATGAATGAATGAAAAAGCATTTACTAAGTGCTTTTCTGCACTGACTTTTTTTTTATTCTGCACTGTACTTAGTGCTAGGAATACAAATTTTAAAAGACAGTCCTTGTTCTCAGAGCTGCCATTCTAATGGATGAAACATTTTTTATTATATATAAGAGCATTGCAATCTAAAGACTTATTTTAATAAGGGCCATAAAATACGGATTTTCTGTATGACTCAAATTCCTGTCACAGATACTCCAGAGCTATGAAGGAAATAAACATTTCATTCACAATACTTACCTTTCTTTAACTTTTCCCCATCTTCTGTGTCTGGCTTAGTTGCCATAACTTCAAATAAGGTCTTAAGAATACTTCGTAAATCACTTGCGTAATTTGTTTGCAGTTGATCAGCGACACCTTGGAGAGATGGGGAGAAACCGAACACTAGTTACTTATTCACATCAAATCAATGATGGAGAATAAAGCATTCTCATGAGGTTTCAAAAATTACATTTTTGCATTCATAACCACAAGGATAACACGCCTTTAGAACAGTCATGGTGACAAGAGTCTCCACTATTCCCACTGAGGGGAATGATCCGTCTGGGTGGAGAGAAAGGAAAGGTTATTGTTTTGTTTTTACCCCATGGATCCATTAAGAAAAATCATGGCATCTAATTAAGCAAAATGTTAAGACATTATCCAGATCCTCATCAGTAAATACTAACATACCCCACTTTGGGGTTAAAAGGAATGGCCTTCCTTCTTTCCATCATTCCATAAGTAGGGGATATGCACCATGGTATAAACCTAGAATCTGGATTCAGAAAACCCAGATTTAATTCCCAGCTCTATTTTGTGTTACATAGCATCTCTGTAAAATGAGGGGGTCTGGCCAGATGCCCTTCCACATATATATTCCAAATATATATATATATATATATTCCAAATATATATATATACATATACACACACACACATATATGTATAGATTATATTTGCATCTGATACAGGGCTGTGCAGAAATCAGAGGCTTTTAGCTATCTGTCCTGACCTATCCAGCAGTTTCCCCTGCTTGTTTTGATAACTACATCTTGATCCTAAGTCAACTGCTGTTTACTACCCATCAAATGAACCACTGATCAGATGATTCAATCATTTACTCATGCTTCTGCCCATCCATGAAATATGAATGGAATACCGGTGATGAGTCAAGCACTATGCTAGACGATAACATATCCAAAGGCAAGCAATCTAATGGAAGAGATGTAAGAACTATGCAACAAAGCTGAAGGAAATAGAGAAAATAAGAGAGATACAAAGTCTGATGAAAGTTCAGAGGAAGGAGAGATTGTTTCTAGCAAAGAAGATGAGGCAATCTAACCTAGGCCTTAGAGGATGGGTAGAAAGGTAGGGTTTGGATAATCTGAAATGAGAGGAAAGGACATTTTAAGAAGTGTATAAGCAACAGGCCTCCCTACTAAGTGACACAAAATACCAATTAATTATCATGATATACATAGTAACATAAGCATGTTTCATGATAATGCCTCAGTTTTTCCATTTGTAAGATAAGGGGGCTCAAAGTTACTGGGGTTGCAATTTATTTAACTTTTGTGGGTCTTGGTTCCCTCCCTTATAAAATAAAGAGGGGGTTGGATTAGGTGGCCTCTCGGGCTGCGTCAGCTCTTAAATTCATGATCCTATTTCCACCACTGCCATGCAAGCTCTTGCCTTCTATCTCATACTACATTATTATATTAGCCTCCTTATTGTTCCCCCGACTTTAGTAGCTACACTCACCAATTTAACTTACACTGATGAAAACTGAATCTTTCTAAAACACCACTCACGTAAGTTCACTCCCTAGAATGAATTTCTATCACTAGTTGACATTACTTATAGCATCTAAACCTAGGCTGCCATTCAAAGCTCTTCACTACTCACTACATTACCTAATCAACACTATTAGCTACAATTCCCCCCAAAGGACTTCTCACTCTAATTAAGCCAGTTTCACCATTCTTTCAGGTTCTGAAGTTTGCAACCTTACAATTATCCTCAATCAATCATTCTCACTTTATAGTCCCAGTCAGTTGCGAATTCTTGTTATTTCTATCTCTGTGACATTTCTTGCATCTGTTCCCTCTTCGCTCCTCACACAGCCCCTCTACCCATAGTCACCACCTTTGGCCTGGACTACTGCAATGATGCCTAATTGGTCTCCTCAGCTCTCTTGTTTCTCCAATTCACACAGCTGTCAAAGTAATTTTCCTTAAATGCAGTCTGACAATGTCATTTCCCTATTCAGTAAACTCCAATTACTCACCATTGTCTCCATGATAAAATATAGACTCCTCTGTCTGGCCTTTCAAGCCCTTCACCATCTGGTCCTGATCTCCCATTTATAGTCTCATTATAGATTTATTCTGCTTCCTGTACAGCCAAACTGGGCTAATTACTGTTGTTCCTCACCCTTGGCCCTCAATCTCCCACCTCCATACCTTTGCAATATGAAAATGCCTGGTATGTGCTCTCTTCCCTTCTGCCTTATAGAATAGCTGACTTCCCTTAAGAATCATCTCAAACCCCACGACTTTCTACATGATGCTTTTCCTGATCCATGACCCCCAGCTTCTAGCTACTTTGTATTCACTGGGTCCATATATTTTATATCTATCTATCTATCTATCTATCTATCTATCTATCTATCTATCTATCTATCCATCCATCCATCTATCTATGTTGTCTCCTCTGACAGAATGTAAGCTCCTTGAGGGCAAAGACGGGTCCATTTTTATCTCTGTATTCCCAGTACTTCGTGCTGTGCCTGGCACATAGTAGGTGGTTAATACGTGCTTGTTGACTGAATGAGGCTCAGTTTTCCCTCTGTAAAATGGGGATAATCACACTTTCATTCCATGTATCCAAGGAGCTATTGCGAAGAAAAACACTTTGTAAATCCTGGAGTGCCATATGAATGTGAGTTATCATTATTATTATTACCTCCTGAGTCAGTCTGTTCAATTTCTGAATATCTAAAATCATTAGGAAATTTTTCCTTATATTGAGCTGACATATCTATCTCCCTATTGCTTCTGCCTAAGGAGGCAGATTTCAACATTACATATTGTTGGCTGCTGTTATTATATTCACTTTCAAGCATCACATAAATGACAATTTAAAAATCACCTCCATCTATCTATATTAGGAAGAAGAGGCTAAGCTATGCTTAAATCCTTATAATCTATCAATTTATATCCACTTACTATCTAGAGTTCCTTCTAGGCCTTGTTTTTTAAAAAAATGTACCACAAAAACCTTCCAGAGTATTAAGCAGATGATTTTTATGTAGAAGTATTTGTTAGCTCTGTAGGAGGGGCTACCTTCTCTCTATGAGATTTTCAAGCACTCCAAGGCTTATCAAAACATGAGAAATAGTTATCCTGAGATTATCCAAAGGAGTTTTTTAAAATGCAGAGATCATACCTGATATGCAGACAAAAAGTCGGTGGATGAGGTCACTGCTGCTGTGAAACCTGGATCTGATCTTTTCCCTCGTAGCCCTTTTCGCAGCCTGTAAGGCCAGCTGGATCTCCTCCTGGTCAGGGCCTTCCGATGAACAGGGGCCTGTCTTGATGTTGCTGTTCAAAAAACACGTATGGGGAAGGGTGGTTAACAGACACTCACTTCTCTTTTCAGATAATAACAAAGCCCATCACTGCCAAATGGTATAAACAAGCACTAGTCTGTCTTGTCCAGTATTTTCATACAATGAGAGTGTAACACTTCGATGGATCTGTGATCTCCTTAGCATTGGTAATCCTTTTCCTGGTACAGATTGCAATCCACCAATTCCATTTCATCCTGAGTAATTCCTACCTATGTCTTTTTCAGTCCTGCCTAAAGGATCCACCCAATGAGTTGTAGATTTTCCTCAGAGGTTTTTTAAAAAATATTTCATGGATACTAGTGCAACACTCAGTTTATCTGTTTGTACTTCTGCTACAAGATCAGTCCATATGACTTCTTTTCCAATTGAATGTCCAATGAAGTCTTTAATACATTGTATGTTTTTTTAAAAGGGATAAAAGACATACGATAAGTGATTTAAATTAAGAAAAAAGATTTATCATGAGAAGATGGCTTTCTAAGATACTATATTGATTATGTTGGTTTTTTTTTTTTCTTTTTCAGTGAGGCACTCAGAGTTAAGTGACTTGCCCAGGGTTACACAACTAGTAAGTGTCAAATGTTTGAAGCTGGGATTATGGTTTCTTTCATAGCATCCTTTTTTTTTTTTAAACTATTCATGGTGAAAGTTAATACCGGGTGCAACATTTGTAATGATTAGCATTTTCAAAGCAATTCCCCAACATTTGTCAGCACATATCTTTGAAACTGTTTGAATATTTCTGTTCCCCAAGTGAGAAAACTAAAGGAAGAAGACAAGTATTTGTCCAAGGCCTCATTCTCCCTGTGTCAGTAAGCTGGAGCAAGGGTAGAACTTTGAAGTTTTGACCATACGGTCATTTGAAATCAAATGATAATTGTAGACTGACACAATGTCACAGATTATTGACTATGTGTGAAGCCAATTAATAGCAATAACTGACTACTCTGTAAGATCACACAAGGCGAACAAGGAGGTTGGGAGAGAGGATCTTTGACTGTTAGTGGTTTCATCTTATTTAACTAAGTTAGCCAGAAAAGCCATTAAACAGAATGTTTAAAGTTTCCTCGCTTCTGAGGTCCCTTCCAGCTATATTTATGTGGTCCTATATATCTTCCTTGCCTTCAGCTTCAATTCAGTACATATGTCCACAAAGACTAAAAAGAGGCAGAGATAGCTTATCTGTACCCTCAGGTTATAGCATTAGTAGCATTAGGTCAATTGAAGTTCTCAATATGCAACCGCAGCTGTTTAAACACTAAAATGAGTGTCATACTTATTTTCGTACATCTGAGTAATATTTAAAAATGATCTATTTTGCACAGAATACTTTGTTAGACATGAAGAGAGCTACCAAGTTTAAAGAAGACCCTGTTGGGAAGCTACCCTCCTGAGGCTCATAGTGATATCACACATTATTCAGGCAGTGGTTATCAATCCTGTGGAGCATACAAACCCTTTGCTTCTTTTCCTTTCCCTACTATATACATGTTGGTTTTTTACTGTGATGGGAGAGAAGAGAGCAGAAAGGAAAGTCAAATTTTTAAAGTTTGCTACATTTCTATAAATCACAGGATCATAGATTTTTAGAGGTAGAAGGGACCCTAGAGATCATTTAGTTCAACATCATCATTGCAAAGACAAGGAAGCTGAGGCCCAGAGGGATAAGGATCCCCACCACGATCACACAGTAGGAAATAGTAAAGTCACAACTTGAACACAGGTCCTTGGACTCACGATCCAGTGTTCTTTCTACTATGCTATACTGCCTCGGTCTTTAAACTACACCACACTGCTTCAAATCTTCCTCAAATGATTGCTAGGGGGAATATGAGACCATCATCTAAAATCAGGTCCTGCTGTTATTTGCTGAGGTTAGTTACCTATGCTATGTGATCCTAGACTACATTGCAGTATGCCAGGGCACTAAGTAAGGCTCCCAAAGCTGGTTCTTTTGGGGATTGTGTCTTCCTATATGACCGGTTGGTAACATTTCATATAATTCATTCAATATATATTTACCGATACATACTACTGATACATACAAGGCCGTTCATGAAGTCCTACTTTAATGTCTCATCAAGGTATGGAGGTTACCCTGGGTTCTTGATGAATCCAAGAAGCTCTGTCAGGTTCTACCATGCTAAGAAGGCTTGATATATGGTCCAGGAAACAGACTATGTTTACTTCAAAAATCAGAATCACAGGAACCTCAGGAACCAACTAGTCCAACCTATACCTGATGGAGAATTTAATAATAATAAAAATAGCTAGAATTTATGCAATACTTTTAATGTCCACAAAATAATTTACATATACTATATTATTTAATCCTCACAATAACCTTATAAGGTAGGTGCTATTATAATTTCCATCTTATAGATAAGGAAACTGAGGCTGAGAAAGGTTAAGTGGCTTGCTCAGGGTCAGACAGCTAATGGGGGTAGGATTTAAAGGCAGAATTTGAACTCAGGCCCTGTTTTTGTTTTGTTTTGTTTTTGTTTTTGGTGAGGGAATCTGGGTTAAGTGACTTGCCCAGGGTCACACAGCTAATAAGTGTCAATTGTCTGAGACCACATTCGAACTCGGGTCCTCCTGACTCTGAGGCTGGAACTCTATCCACTGTACCACCTAGCTGCCTTTCTGACTCAGTCTAGCACTCTATATACCTTGTCATTTAGCTGCCTCTAACAAATTTACTCTGACAAATAGACAGTGCTTGAAGATATCTAGTGGGAAGGAACCCCAATACTTCCCAAGGCAGTCCATTCCATTTTTTGATAGCTCACTGTGTCATGTGCAAACTTTACAACAATGCTATCTATATTTTCAATTACTTCATTGATAAAAATGCTAAATATCACAAAACCAAGCACATATTCTGGGGGGCATTCCATTACAGACATTTTCCACATTAATATCAAGCTATTAATGACTACTTTTGGGGGTGACCACTCAAGTAGTTCCAAATCCAGCTAACTATTATAATCTAGTCCATACCTCTCCATCTTGTTCACAAGAATACCATTTATTTATTAAGCTCTTAATATGTTCTAGTCATTGTGATAGGCACTAGGGATATAAGGAAAGGCAACCCTGCTCTCGAGGAGCTTCCAGCCTAATAGGGAGATGACATGCAAATAACTATGTACAAATAAGATGTATCTTCCAGTTTATTCAGTGATAATGATTATCATTATTATTATCATTTTTGTTCTGGACCCATGCTTTCTTTAGCATAGGCAGCTCCCTTTGTTACAGAAGCTCCTTCCACCATTGTAGACTGGCAGTTCATACTTATTGCCGCAGAAAGTTGCTGGGAGCCCTGGGAAGTTAAATGACACGATGAAGTTAAGTCATATGACGAGTAGGTTGGAGGCAGGACATAAACCCTACTCTTTTTAACTCTTAAGATCAGTCCTGTATTTTCCACACCATACTGCCTCGCCATCTGTCTAAAAATGCTGTCAGAAAGGAAATGAACTTATTCTGACTTGCTCTGTTCTTGATGAAGTCATTATGGCTCTTTGTGATCACCACTTCCTTTTTTTTCTTCTTCAATTAACAAGCATTTATTTTCTCTCATTCCCAAGACCCAATCCAAAAGATAAAAGAGAAACAAAGACTTTGTAACAAACATGCATAGTCAAACAAAGCACATTTTCATAACGGCTAGGTCCAAAAATAAACGTTTTGTTCTGTCTCTTGTATCCATCACCTTTCAGAAACTGAATAGCATGTATCATCACTGGTCCTCGGGAACTGTGATTGGTCATTGCACCGACCAGAATTCTTAAGTCTAAAAGAAATCTGCCACCAAAATATTGTGATTGTACAAATTGTTCTCCTAATTCTCAAATCACTGCATCAATTTCATCCAAATCTCCCAAAGTCTCACTGAATCCATTCTTTTTGTAATTTCTCATGGCACAGTAGTATTCCATCATGTTCATGTGCCATAATTTTTTCAGTCATTCCCCGATGGGTACTCATTTAGTTTCCTGCTTTTGGCTACTACAGAAAGAGACGCTATAAATATTTTTGTTAATGGATGTCCTTTTCCTCTCTCTTCAATGTTTTTGAGATAAAGGCTATTTATTTACACTCATTCTAAGCCATCAAAATCTAAACAACGAGCCTTAGAGGCTTGGGGTGGGGGCTATTATTGGCCATTCAATGAAAGCAAGTTAAGACATCACCTCATGATGTCACTGGTCCTTTTTCAGAACAAAGGACATACAACAACAAGACAAAGGTCCAAAGAGATCAAAGTAGTCATGCTGGGTCAAAGTATATACACAGTTTAGTGACTTTTTGGGCATAGTTTCAAGCTGCTTCCCAGAAAGGCTGCATCAATTCAAAAGTCTACCAACAGCGTAGTAATGGTCCTGTTTTCCTCCAGCTCCAGGAACATTTGTCATTATCCATCTTTGTTATCTCTGCCAATCTGATGGGTGTGAGAGGGAACTCATTGTTGCTTTCATTTGCATTTCTCTATTTGTTAGTTATTTGGAGTCTGGATGTTTATAACTTTAATTTTCCTTTGAAAACTTCCCATTCATAACTTCTGCACATTTATCAATTAGAGAAAGGCTTGTATTCTTATAAGTTTGAATCAACTTTTTATTTATTTTGGAAATACTTTTATCAGAGACACAAGTTACAAATATTTTTCCCTAATTCATTGTTTCCATTCTAATTTCATCTGCACTGATTTTGTTTGTGCAAAAAACCCCTTTTCAATTACATGCCCATTCTGTGATTCTCTCTGTCTGATATACATTCATGAACCCTCCCTCTATCCGTTGATCCCAAAGGAAATTTGTACCTTGCTCTTCTGATTTGTTTATGATGTGGCTGTTTACAGCTAAGTCACATATCCAGTTTTAGCTTATTGTGGCATATGATGTGAGGTATTCGCTTAAACCTAATTCTGCCGAACTACTTTATAGTTTTCCCAGAAGTTTTTGA